TATATATAGAAAGTGTTACTGCTCTGTTTCTATTGTGTGTGCAGGATAATGTGTTTCCTTTAACCTGTCCCGTGAGGCGGCTCCACGGTGCTGCTGACGTCGGACTCGGTCACGTCAAACGTTACCTTTCTGTCTCCCGCCAGACCAGACGAATCATCAAACGCGAGCTGAAAGAAGAAAACGACAGCTGAGGCTGACTTTCTGATAAAAAGCATGAAAATGAAGACAAAATGAGAACACTCAAAATGCACATTACGCACAGAGCTCAGTTCAAAACTAACATCTGGTGTCGTAACAGATTTCTGGTCACTTCATTAACATTAAACTTCTGTTTTATTCCTTTATTGTTTTTATTTAGCCTGTTAATGTATTTTTTTTCCCCAAATTGGGACATTTACATCTTAAAAAACCCATGAAAATGCAAACATCTGTTGAATAAGTCTGTTTTCTCCTGACCTCCTCAGCCATAGAGCTCTCCAGCTGCTGCAGCTGCTCCTCCTTCTTCCTCAGCAGGGAGTTTCCTCTCTGAACCGTCCGCTGCAGCTCGGCCACATCTCTGGACTCCTAAAGGAACCGGAGAGAGCAGTCAGCCATCTCTGACACCCATCAGCCCAGGGAAACTCCTTCAGGACCCTGCTCCACCTGCTGGAGGGTCCTCAGCTTCTCCTCAGTCAGTCCTCCCAGACCGGGATCCTGAGAGCTGCTCGTCTGCGCCGCCTGCAGAGCTGCCTGTCTCTCCATCAGACGGTGGCTCTCTCTCTCCAGGAAGCGCTTCGTCTTCTGGATCGAGTGTCCGTGTGAGGAGACGTACTGCCGAAAGCTGACGACAAACGCTCAGGATTAACCGTCGTCGGGACTTCGTCTGAAACATTTTGTTCTCCGCGCCTTCTTACCCGTCCATGCTGCTGTGGCTGTCGGGTCCAGGAGAAAGAGACGGCTCGTCCAGGTCCTCCACATGGAGCGATGAGTCTCTCCACTCACTGGATAGCCTGACTGCTTTGTCTGCCTTCTTCCTGCCCTGCTCGGCTTTGGGAGATGTTTTCCCACCTTTGCTTTGTTCCAGCTCACTGACAAAACGAGACGAAGTATTTGAAACACAAAAATCCTATACAGGGTGAATCAAAAGTCACCGGACAACTCATCTGAATACAGGGGGGTCTATCTTTTAGGCTACATTCAGAACATGAACGCCATCTAAAACATCACCATATTAGATCAAAATAAACATACATACTGTTTTTCTGTGTCCAGATTCAAAGCCTTCTCTTCACATTTTTAGAGCATTACCAGGAAGAACAGGCAACGGCTGAATAGGAGCACTGTACCTGACTCTGCAGCCGAGATGGTCATACCTCTCCTGCAGCAGTGCCACCTTGCTCTCCAGTCGCTCCTTGTCCACCTTGGATCTCCTGCTCTCCTCTCTGGTTTTGTCTCTCTCCTCCCTCATCCTCTCCTCCGCCCCCTTGGCCTCGTTTCTCTCCTCTCTGGCTCTGTGGGCGAGTTCCCGGGCTTGTGCCACCTCCTCCCTCGCTCTGAGCAGTTCCTCCTTCAGCTGGTCTCTCTCTTTGACCAGCCGAGGCAACGTCTGAACACACAGAAATAATTCATCGGGCTCAATTTAGAGTGACCAATTAACCATGTTTTTGTTCTGTGGGAGGAAGCGGAGTGCGCGGTGAGAACATGCAAACTCCACCCAGAGAGGTCGACAGGCCAGGATTTGATCCAGCGACCTTCTTGCTGCGAGGCCTCAGCTCTACCAACTGAACCACCATGCTGCCACACAGAAATAAGGACATTTATAAAACATGGCTTAGAGAATGTTTCTTTGGTTCTTTATCTTAGATCTAAATAAGATATGAATTAAATAAAGAAAATAAAACAGGACTAAGTACACACCCCTGAGGAACTCCAGAAGTCAGAGGCACCCCAAAGGGAAACACTATCATTAGGTGGTTAGGCAGCTCAAGGTTTAACTGCTTTTTTGCTTTTTTATTAATTAACGAGAACATTTGTGTTACAGAAGATGACAGAGTAGCAGAGATGGGAACTCGTGACTCGGACTTGGACCTGAGTCGCACTTAATTCCCTACTATTAGAGACTTAGACTTGACTTGTGGTTTGAGACTTACGAACAATGCAAGTCTTTTCACTGCCTGACTTATGATTCTCACTCCTTCAGTACACATCCATGCTCCTCTCTGAGGACATATAAAGTTTTAAGAGCAAAATCATTTTACTCCTGCTCTCAAATTGAACATATACTCTCTTGATTAAAGTCAGAATAATTCTTCCATACACTCCACTCCCCCTCACCTGAGAATGGGAGGGGCCAGCGCTGTCCAATAATAATGACGTGTACCATACGTGATAAACAGACCTTCAGCATGGCAGGTGCGTTGCAGTGGGCAGCTCTGCTGCCATTCATTATAAGCTTTGCTTACAGAGACTTTATTCAATGCATGACAAGAGACATGGCTAAATGAAAAGTGTGTGAAGTCCAAATCTAAAATTTGTTTTTTGTAATGACTTGTGCAGCCCTTTTACTTTAAGGATTCTGGTTCATCATCTTCATGGAGATGCTTTTATGCATTTAAAAATATATTTTCTGGTATTTTATTGTAAAATCAGCAGCAGACTTGTTGGATTTATTCTTTGTCACTGGCAAGATATAATTACAGTAAGACTACAAGTGAAAAATACAGTTAACAATACTCTAAATGCTTGATTGTTATTTCAACCTTAACCTTATCTGTATTTTTAAAACAGTATTATGTTTTAATAGTATTATTAAAACATAATACTATGTTTTAATATTTTGTTAAAATATAGTATTATAGAATATAATCTAGTATAGTTAGAATACCTTTGATCAAACTACTAGTTAAGTAATACATGCAATGAGACTTGGACTTGAGGTCAAGAGACTTGAGACTTGACTTGGATTTTTGGTCAAAGATTTGGACTTGGACTTGCGCACATCTCTGCAGAGTAGAGTGGGTTAATATAAACAGTTAGAGAGAATTAGTGTTTTCACCTCTATCTGTCTGTCTAAATCTTTCTCTTCGTCCCCAAGCATCCTCCTCCTCTTCGTTAGCTCTGCTGCCTGATAGGAAATAGACGAGATCAGTCTACGAGGTTTTGTTTTGTGTTAATGCTGCAGCACACAAAGTCACTGAGATGAACCTTGGTTTGAAGCATGGCCTCCTGGCTCCTCAGTTCTTTCTCTCTTAGCTCCAGCAGATCTGCCAGATCCTTCAGTTCTGACTCCTGTGTGAAGAAGACATTCAGACATTAAAACCAACCCCATCGGGGGGGGGAAAAAAAGTATCAGCTGCAACGATACAGAAAGTTCACAATTTGGTTTGGTTCAATACTTTAGTCTCACGGTTCGATATTTTTCGATACAAAAAAAGAGAAATGTCCATGCCCTTTTTAACTTGTAATTTATTTAATTAATTATTAATTTGTTTAACCTCAAAAGTCCAGTTTTTAAATTAAATATTGCTGAAACAGCAAGTTTCTCGGTGGATCTGTGCTCCACAATGCGCCTAGGTGGAGTAGTCGAACACAGAAAAACTGATCCTTCAACACAGAGCATCTTCAGAAGACATGTTGATAAAATAAATTTTAAAAATCTGTATTGTTTGATACAAGTGTGTATTGAACCTAAAGCACTGTTCGATACGGGTACATGTATTGTTGCACCTCTGGTTGTTACTTCATGTACTTTGCAGCAAACCTGAGCGTGTCTCATCTCACCTTGCGTGAGTAGCCCAGCTGAGTCTTCTGTGTTTGTGAGTCGAGCTGCAAGCGGAGTCTCTCCAGCTGGACAGCATGTGAGGCCTGGAGCTGCTCCCTGTCGTCCTGCAGAGTGCGCAGCGAGCGCTCCCTCAGAGCGGTCTCCTGAAACAAACAGTACAGATCCGCAGTGAGCTGCTCCAGCATCAAACTGAGTGGATAAAAGTTTACAACCAGCTTTTTCAACCAATTTTTCAGATGATTTTTTTTTATTCTAAATACGTTGCTACTAATAATTAAAAATACTTTCTTTTACAATCCAGCACATTTACAAATGCAACTGTATGAGGCCTGAAGCCCCATTGTTATTTGACTGTTAAATTTCTGTTTCCATCACAGTTTCTTAATCTCCTACAGATGATAAATGACTTGAACTTGTACAGAGCTTTAAGACTCCAAAGGGTTTCACACTACAGTCATACTCAACAGTTTAATAAGTTTAAACAGCTCACAGAGAACTGGACTTTACATGACTGAACAGGCTTTTCAGTGATTGTACAATTTTTACACAACTTTTTTTGGGGGAGATTTCCATCACAGAATAGTTTGAACTAACAGACAGAGGGATTAAATCAGCTGAGATTATCACAGAAGTTGGAGGTTTCATCAGAACGGTTCAGAGCGCTGCGTGTTAAACAGAACAAAGTTCTCCGGGAGGTAAATATTAAACCCCGTCGCACCTCGTCCAGATATTTCTCTCGGATGCTGTTCATCTCCCTCCTGTGGTCGTCCCTCAGCTGCTCCAGCTTGTTCTCGTGCTCACGTTGCACTTCATCTCTCACTTGCTGGAGCACGTCGGACAGCTGGGCAAAAAAAATTTGCAACAAAGAAATCAGACTTGAGCTTCAAGCTTCGACAATCGGTTCAAGCGTACGGGGAAAAACACGATGGTGAATTACGTGTGTGTGTGTGTGTTTTCAGTGTGTTTGTGTTCCCTAACCTCTCTGTGGTACTCTGCCAGCTGCTGCTCGGGTCGTGGACTCATCAACAGCTCCCTCCTCCGCTCTGTGCTGACGACCTTTATACAGACAAAACTTTGTCAACACAAACAGATCATTAGTCTGTTTTTGACAGTGTGCACCTTAACAAAAGAACAAATGTAAACTTCAGGTTCTTGTGCAGCGTGTCAGTTCGATTGGCAAAGTGTTTTTGTCATTTTATCTGTTAAGAAATATTAAAGGAAAACTGTAGTTATTCATTTAGCCCCTGCTAAATCAGTATATCACACTCATGGCGCAGTGGGTGAGTTATTTGATTTAAAAATGTCTGTTCAATGAAAACAAAATTGAAAAAAAGAAAGAAGTGTTTCTTTGTGCCACGGTCACCTCCTGTTTCAGAGAGTTCAGTTTCTCGTCCTGCTCTCTCTGGAGTCTCCTCCTCTCAGCCTGCAGCTCCTCCTCTAATTCTGCCTTCAGACGCTCGACGTCCTGCTTCTTCTGGGCCTCGAGCCTGTCGCGAGCTGCTGCGCGTTCTTCCTCCAGAGCGACTTGCAGCTCCTTTAACATCACGTCGCTCTCTAACCTGAGCAGAAATAAAACGCACAGTAACTTTAATAAGAAGGTTTCAGGTGATGAAACAGTGTTAAAGGTGATCAAAAAGTCAAAGGTCAATAAGGTTTTATTCTTTGTTTGTGTTTCCTGCTCATCCTGTACTTTGTCTAGTGTTTATGGTGCTGATGATGCATTACTGTAACATTTACACCTGCAGTGTTTGGATCACGTGATGAATGAATCTGTTCATATACGTCTGACTACTTAGAAGCTAAATTAAACACGCTATAAATTCAATAAAAACATTTACTGCACATTAATCTGACCTGAGTTTTTCTTCCTGCTTCTCTCTCTCCTTTCTGACCGACTCTCGGAGTTCCACCAGTCTTCTGTCAGACACCTCGTTCAGCCTGGCCTCCTCCTCCCTCCTCTTAGACAGGAGATGCTGCTGCAGCACTCTGAACACACACATCACTTAAACTTAGAAAACGTGAAAGAAAAACATCACAGAAAACAGAGTTTTGTCACTGTTTTCGGGTTAAAGAGGCTTAAATTAATACAAATTTCCACCTCAGTCGTTCTTCACTCTCCTCCTTTAGTTTCTGTTCCTCTTCTTGTTCTTCTCTTTTCAGCTGCTCATAGAAAAAATGCCTTCTTGCCTCCTTTTCCTTCAACAAGCGCTCCTTCTCCTCCTCCTCCTTCTGGACCGTCCAGCTGGGCTCTTCTTCCAGAGCGCTTGCTTGTTTTTTTAAGGTGGGTTCGGCGTCTTCATCCAAAGTCCGGACGGGCCGACCCCTGGAGGTTTCAGGTCTCTGGACCCCCGCGGACGCACCGAGGCTTGGTGACGGGACGACGGCCTGATGGGAGTCAACTTGCTCCAAGCTGAAGGAGTTGGAGAGGGAAGGCGACTGGCTGGACTGGTGGAGGACAAGTCGGTCAACTTTATGGTATGGAGGGTTGTCTTCGTCTTTAGACAGGTTCTGACTGAGGAGAAAGTAGACAAGGACTTCATGAAACTGCCTCCGTAGATCTTACGCTCTAAACTCAACATGTCTAAAGGATTTTGAGTGAAATGATGAGCATAAATTAAGGTCATAATGTTATGGCAGATCAAAAATGATGCAAGCTCTAAATAATTTAAAGTTCACCTTTTGTTAATAAAACACTTTTAAAGGCACAGTGTGTAGGATTTGTTGTTTTCAGCTACATCTAGTGGTTGAATGGTTGAATCATCCTCCCTGGTCCTCCCCCCACCCCCACCCCCTGCTTCCAAACGCAAAGGAGTTGCTACGGTGTCTCTCNGTACTTTTCTCCTCTCAGTAGGGTTGTTTACAGCACACGCGATTTCTGTTTAGCTTCCTAGCTTAGCCTCCTTCACTGTGGAGCTGGCGTACACTTACATCGTGACCAAACAATCCAATCATTTTAAACTTCAGCAGAGGCCACGCCCCCAGCAAGAATCACTTCTCTATAGCCGAGAGTCCAGACCCTTGTACGAAGCAAAGTGAAGGACAAGGGTCTGGTTTTTACCAGGCTAGGGCTGCACAATATTAGAAAATCTTGTGATGGCAATATTTGTAAATAATGTGATGATGATAAGATGCGATATGTCTTTTTTTTCTTTTCTAATCTCTACTTCTTACTTTATGCAATCTTTAGCATTTTTGGCGATGTTCTTTGTGTCTGATGTGAGCTTCTACTGCTGTGCGGCTCTGTCCTACTGGCTAGATACTGCATTAGCATGAAAAATTCAACATTAAAACTCTTCAAATGCATTAGTCAAAGTCAAAATTATTGCACTCCAAGCAGTCCTTTGTGATATGAATATTGCACACACTGATAGTGCGATGACCATTTATTTGCGATATATTGTGCAACCGTAGTCCTTTTATATATTTCTGTCAGCTTCAGTCCTCCATACAGTGGTGATTAAAAAGAATAAAGTTTCAGTGGTGAGTTTCTTCCCAACAAGTGAAACATTGTTGTCTGTGTCTGCAGACACCTCCTTCATGTACATGATCGCCGGCCTCTGTATGTTGAAGCTGTACCAGAAGAGACACCCGGACATCAACGCCAGCGCGTACACCGCCTACGCCTGCCTGGCCGCCGTCATCTTCTTCTCTGTGCTCGGAGTGGTGCGCACAAACTCAGGCTCGCCTCATTTAAGACAATTTTTATTGCAATTATTATTTGTTTTAATTGTTTGTGTTGGGTCTGACTTTCAGGTGTTTGGAAAGGGCAACACTGTGTTCTGGATTGTTTTTTCAGTCATCCACATCCTGGCCACGCTCCTCCTCAGCACACAGCTGTACTACATGGGCCGATGGCGACTCGGTGAGGGCACAGCTGGAAGCAAAGTGCTCTTAAAAAAGCATTTCAAAGTCACGTACAGTTTATCATTAACTGTTGATTAATTAATTTCAATTAGATTAAACTTTTTATGGAATTTGGTACAACTTATAGGCTTAATTATGTGTTCTCATCTCTCATGTGTCTGTATTTTTCTTGCATTAGACGCTGGTATCCTGCGCAGGATTGTGTACGTTATCTACACAGACTGCATCAGACAGTGCAGTGGACCCATGTACATCGTGAGTAAAAACTGAACACTTTGCATCTTTATGTTAAACGTTATAAAGCGATAGAACTGCTGCAGTGATTAGTGGCACAGTCCCGTTGAAAAAATGAACCATTTTTCCCTGATTTCTGTCTGTCAGGATCGTATGGTTCTGCTCGTGATGGGAAATATAGTCAACTGGTCTCTGTAAGTGAACCTACAGTTTCTTCTTTATCTTTAGAGGCAGGTTAAATGTGTTGATGTTGTGCTCCGTCTCTGCAGAGCTGCCTATGGCCTCATAGAGAGGCCCAATGACTTCGCCTCCTACCTGCTGGCCATCGCCATCTGCAACCTGCTGCTCTACTTTGCCTTCTACATCATAATGAAGGTGTGTGTGTGTTTGCAGAGCTTGCAAGTCATAGTCCACTTCATTCATCAGCAGAATGGAGTTGAAGGGTTTTTACTCATCGTCTTGGTTTGTTTCAGCTTCGGAGCGGCGAGAGAATCAAGTGTCTGCCATTCGTGTGTATTCTCTTCACGGCAGTGGTTTGGGGATTTGCACTTTACTTCTTCTTCCAGGGTCTCAGCACCTGGCAGGTCAGCAATACAAATTAGATTCTGTGATGTGAGAATTTTTTCATTGGTTTATTTGTCATGATAACATTGTTTTTTTTTTTTTTTTTTCCAACACAGAAAACTCCAGCCGAGTCTCGTGAGCACAACAGAGACTGCATCCTGTTGTCGTTCTTTGACGACCACGACATTTGGCACTTCCTGTCCTCCATCGCCATGTTTGGATCCTTCCTGGTGGGTTTGACTTTTATTGCTTGTTTACTGTGTCCCTGGTTATTGACAGGGCTGCAATATTAAAAATGATTCATCTTTGCGTGAGTGACTTTAGGGCAGGGCTATTCAACTAAATTGCTCCGGGGGCCACAGTTACTGCAGGTCAACAGCACAGGGGCCGAACATCCAGCAATTAGTTATTTTGTAAATAAACCCAAGTATTACAAAGATCTGTTACCTTTGAAATAGTTTATTTTGCTGCATTTAATCATCATTACAACATACAGAACCCTATAAAAGTAGTAATAATCCAACAATATCAAAAAGAAAAAGAACAATTTATGCCTCCTATTTGACACAAATAATATGTTGGCATCTCTGACTTGCCAAATTTTTAAATCAATTTTATTTTCACTTTTATAGTTCTATCTTCAATTGCTTGTAGTTTTAATTGTCTTGCATGTTCATAGAAATGGTTTATACCAGCTTCCAGCCAAGATTCAGATGTTTCTGTAGATACCAAACATGTCTATGTTTAACTAAAATTACTTTGATTAATTAAAGTAGAAAACCAGGAGTTTGGGCTTAAGAGATGAATAAACCAATTGGCGGGCCGAACTATCCGCGGGCCGCCAGTTGAATAGCCCTGCTTTAGGGTCTTAGTTTATGGTGAGTTGGAATGGATAAAAACACAAATGAGCCGAGCCCTCGAAAGTGGGTCCGTTTCTCTCCCCGATAAGATGAGATAAGATAAGATGGACCTTTATTGTCATTGTACAGAGCACAGTGAAAGTTACACATATCAGACCAAAGCACCTTCATCTGTGGGACACAGAATCTGTCTCCTTCCTGAGCGCTATGATGGCTGGACACTGCCATCTTGTTTGTACTTGGTACAGATGTTTGTACAAATGAGCGAGGCACCTTCAGGCTTCTGGAAATTGCATCCAAGGATGAACCAAACTTGTGCAGGTCCACAAATCTCTTCCTGAAATGTTGGCTGATTTCTTTAGACTTTCCCATGATGTTACACAAGGAAGCAGTGTTTCAGTTGTGCCTTTAATTACATCCACATGTGGATGTTTGGTGTATGTGTCTTTATTTAGTGTATGTAAACAACTGTATGTGTGTTACAGAGTGCGACGGTGTGACTTCTGAATAAATGAAAATGATTTAACACAGTTGTTTATACTTTTAGCAGCTCCTTTAATTTCACTACTGACGCTGCTAAAAATGACATATTTTATTTTCTGGATCTCTGACAGACGGACTTCAATCTCTGAACTCGTAAAGTTTTTCNGACCATGGAGATATAAACAGCTTTTTATAAGGTAAAAATAATAAAACAAGGTCTTTGTCTGCAATGATTAGACATGTTTTTTATTATTGTCATTAGTGATTATCTCAATTTAGGCTAAAAGAATCGACAAAATCCTACACACTGTGCCTTTAAAAACCTTACGATGCTCATCTGAGCTATGCTAGAATATCCAAATGACCTCTCAGCTTTCCTCCCTCTTTCCTCATTTCCCTCCTCGTCTTCTTGAGTTTCCTCTTTGTCGTCTTTCTCCAGCAGACTGATGGAACCAGACAGATCACTGATCTCTTGGACCTTCTGGGACGCCTTCAAGACACAAAATCAGAACCGATCGGAGACATTTGACATCAGCTTGAATGCACTGTTTAGACCAGAGGTTCTCAAATGTTTTGGGTCGGGGGACCCCTGACAAAGGGGTAAAATTTCCAGGGACCCTCTCATAAACCTCATGCTGATTTAAAAATAATTTAAATCCTTTAAACCCCTAAATGCCATGGAAATATGTTTGTTTTACTTGTACGCTGTACCACATATAATGCTAAAAATATACATATATGTATGTACATGGCCCACAGAAACACATTACCTTTAAATATCCAGGTGGATTTTGTTAAGAAAAAAAGTTGTTATAACCTTAAAGGGACAGATATATTTGTAAAACCCAGATTCAGAACTAGTTTGAGGGAATGGTGTACTTTAATACAGGGAATAAGACTGTGGAATGATTTGAAGAGTGATGTTAAAAACGCAGGATCAATGGGCCTCATGCAAGAACCGTTCGTACGCACAGATTTGTTCTTAAGTTGTGCGTACGAGTGATTTAGGAGAATTTGTGGCATTCAACAATGTTTTTGTATTCTAAGATTTTTTTCAGATACGAACAAAATTCACGAGTGGTCCAGACCTGTCGTATATTTTACCAGCAGTCAGTCTGCTGTTATCCAGACGGATTTTCTTCATTAATAACTTTATATTTCGTTAGTTTGAAGATATTTTGAATTGAAAATAAATCACACTCCATGATTATCTTGACAATAAGCTATTCTGCTTGAATTAGAGTTATAATTTTAAATGTAATAATTTAGACTAACAATATAAATTGTCCGTCCGTCCGTTTTCTGCCGCTTATCCGGGATCGGGTCGTGGGGGGGCAGCAGCAGAGAGACCCCGCTCTCCCCAGCGACACCTTCCAGCTCGTCCTGGGGGACTCTGAGACGTTCCCAGGCCAGAGGGGATATATAATCCCTCCAGCAAGTCCTGGGTTTTCTCCAAAGTGCCAGACATATTTTGAAAATATTTTAAAATGCTTATTGCAGAACCGCAACTGAGACCACCTGCGACCGCGCTGGGGGGGGGGTGTTACGGTGCGCGACGGTGTGTCTTCTGAATAAATGAAAATGATTTAACACAGATGTTTATCCTTTTAGCAGCTCTTTTTATTCCACAGCTGACCTGCTAAAAATGACATATTTTATTTTCTGGATCTCTGACAGACGGACTTCAATCTCTGAACTCGTAAAGTTCTTCTTTTTAATTTTCGCTGTTATTTTCATGAATGGACACTTCCTTGTATCTGAGGCAGGAAGCATAGCCTTATATGGTGTTTTTGGGGTGGTAATTATGCTAATCTCCTCTCGCGTGCACGAGCAGCTGGATACGAACAGGTGGAATTTACGCAGCTCATTTACACACTTTTCCTGAAGATAGAAGAGTTTGTTGAATCTGACGTGACATGTTCGTACGAACCCTTTGTACGAACAAAAGTAAGAGAAATTTAGGATAAGAATATGAACATGTTCTTGCATGAGGCCCATTGTGTACATTTAAGAAAATGATAAAGTTTCGATTGTTAAAAAAAATATGAAACAGTATAAAATGCACCTATATTAATTGTTATTCTAGAGGGATTAGATGTTCTTGTCTTTTGTTTTGTTAATGATATAGATTTTTTGTTATATGAACGTATTCTTGGGAGAAAAGGAGCAGATATTATAAGATTTTTTTCTTCTCTCTGCTACCTTTCATTTTATTTGTGATTTTGATACACATATATTGTTTTTCTAATTTTTCTTTTTTATATTTTTCTTTTTATTGTATATAAATTGTTTGTTTTGTTTTAATGAAATGAATAAACTAAACTAAACTAAAAATAAAAACCAAAATCAACAACTTAATGTAATGTTTTGAGGACCCCCAAGCTACAGCTCACAAACCCCAGTTTGAGAACCTCTGGTTTAGACGACCAGATTACCTTCACATCTATGGAGGGAGATGGCTCTGCAGTGTTCTTATTGGCCTCAAACTCCTGCAAAAAAAAAAAAAGAAACACAAACACAGTCAGTAATAATGCAGCAGCTCTGGATCTGCAAGCACAAATATACACAGTCACATGAAAGCCAGCTGCCAACAAGTTTAAACTGGATTTAAGGCAGAGACTGCATGCAAACAGAACTAGAGCCGGGTTGTAAACAGCACACCAGAATTGTTCTGTCACCCAAACACACAAGACTCTGGAGGTGAGGAGGTGATGGAGGGAGAGGAGAGCTCTGGATCTGCTTCAACCTCCAACCAACAAGCAGATTCCAAGTCTGACAGAGGGGCAGGGAGGGAGTCAAAGCTTTCCAATCCAGTCCTGAAGGGCTCAAACTGATCGACTCGTTCTTTCATCCACAGAAAGTCTCAGCCCCCAAGGCACTGGAGTTGGACTCTGGCAGCTACATGCACCTGCTCCAAACGGGAGCAGGAAGAGGGAGGCAACACCAAAGCCCTACCTCCACAGGAAGGGAGGAGCTCCTCTCCTTCATCTCGTCAGCGAGACTCTCTTCCCGCTCGTGTTTGAGTTCGGCTGGTTGGACACGAGTCGAGTTAAAAGCTTTAAGGACTTCCTCGTCGCTCTCCGATGCACCCGGTGGATTTAGACTCCCTGCTTCATCTTCTGTCTCCGCTTCCTCCTCCGGCGTTTCCTCTCCTCCAGCTTTCAGTGCCTCCTTGTCGCTCTCTGTTGGCTCCCTGCTGCTTCTGGAGCGTCTCTGCACAGCTTCGTCACTCTCGTCGTCCTCATCCTCTTCCTGCTGTTTCTGGAAGCCCTCGCCCTCGCTCAGCTCGTCATCAGAAACCCCTCTCTCGGTCGCATCTCTGTTTTCGTCAAGTTTCTCCTTATTTCTACCCTCCTCAATCTCTGACTCGTCTAAACTCTTTACATCTCCATCCCTGTTGTCATCATCCCGGCTCTCTGCAAACCTTTCTACCTCTTCATAGCTCTTATCACTGTGTTTTATGTTTTCTAACATTTCTTCGGTATCAGCTCCACTCTGATCTTCCTCCTGGTGAAGTCGACCGTCTCCTTCCAGCTCGTTCCCAGCCGTCGCCTCAACGCTCCCCCTGTTTTCTCCACTGCTCTCCTCGTTTTCTGCATCTTCCGTCTCTCCATCCTCCTCCACGTCCGACCGCGCCGCTAAGTGTTCAGGTTCACGGGCCGGAGCACCGGACCCCTCCTCGCTGACTTGGTTTGTCCGGCCCGCCTTGCTAGAGAGCTGGATGTGGTGGCCCACGTCCTTCAAGGAGGGGGGAGGAAGAGGAGGAACGGTCCACCCAAACAGAGGCACAAAGGACGGCGCGCAGAGACACAAAAAACAGAGGGGATGGAGGTGGGGTTAAAGGGAAGCAGGCAGACGAAAAGACTGTGTGACCCCGTTTAAGGATAATAGAGGCTTGAAATAACTGCATGCAGGCATTTAATAATAAAAAAACTCAACAGGTTGTATTAAAAAGAAACACAGACATAAACAAATAAAAATACATACAGTCACGGTAAAAGTATTCATCCAGAATATCTGAAGCTTTACTGTCCATTAATACGCTTTAAAATTGGCTGAATACTAGTTGAGATGAACAAAAACAGTAGACATATTACACTGCTGTGATTTATTTATAAAAAGTAAGTCAAACTGCAGGAACATGACATGAAAACTAAATACAGCCCACGATTCCAAAGTTTGTAGCAGCACGTTTTTAGGAACAGCTTCATTTAATCATCACTCGACTAAGTGCTTCTCAAACTGAGTCATTTTTCAACTTCTGCCTGTTTTCGGCTCTAGTAATAATGTAGGCTGAACTAAAAAGTATTTTTTTATTTAAAGATGTATACGCTATCACCATATATATATGTACTAGCTCAGCGCTACACATTCTCCTCTCATCACAAAAATGACTGAAACTGAAAATATGGACGGAGGACCTCAGTTTAGCTTGATAGTTTGTCATGCTAGCACCGAGCTAATACACATGGCAGTATAGCGTCGGCGCTAACACTAAAGCTACCAGGCTAAGCTGAGGTTCTTCTTCCATGAAGCAGCTCTGTTGTCCTCCATCTATATTTTCAGTTACAGGCTGAGTCATTTCTACCTTCTCCTCTCTGTCAACGCTCTCTGGTTTCGTTTAAAAGTCAATCCTCTGATGTTGTCCGAGATTAACCTTCAGGGTGGATATAGCTCACACTGAGGACCTATCCACGTCATCATTTACCCAGAATGCTTTGCATGTAAAAATGCCTCCGTCCGTGTTGAAATA